TTTCCTTGGGTTCTGAATAAAAATTAGGATTATTTTTCTAGATCTGTGAGGAATTCTGTTGGTGTTTTGATTGAGATGGCATTGAATCTATATGTTATTGGTAATATGACCATTTTAACAATATTGGTCCTGCCTATTCAGGTACAGGGGATGTCTTTTCATTTTCTGATGTCTTCTTTAATCTGTTTTTCCAGAGTACTGTAGGTTCTATTGTAGAGTTCTTTCGTTTCTTTGGTTAGATTAATTACCCAGTATTTAATTTTTTAAAGCTATTGTGAATGGAGTTGTTTTCTTGATTTCATTCTCAGTGGGTACATTGTTGGTGTAAAGAATGCTATTGGTTTTTGGGTATTGATTTTGTACCATACTACCTTGTTGAATTTGCTTCTTAGTTCTAGGAGACTGTAGGTTTTAGGTCTTCTATGTAGATTTGTGTCATCTGTAAATAAAGATATTTTGATTTTTTTCATTTTCAAGCTTCTGATTTTCAACACTACAAATCAGAAAGCTTGAATACTCCTAGCAGACTGAGTCCCCCATTGATACCAGTCCCTGGACACAGGTCCTGGCAGGGAGTCTGGTGGACTGACCACCAAAATACTTGCAGGCAGTGCCCCAAAGTGCCATGGCACTGCATCCCCTTTCCCCTGGGAATTGGTGGGGGAGTGAATGGGACAGAGGCACAGATCTGGCTGTGACTCTTTGAAGGGTTGGTCAAGGCTGAGCTGGTAGAGGAAACCGAATATTGGGGTCTGTTGCCTACAGAACGGAGGAAGAGGCCGGACAATGGGTATGGTCCATTCTTCCTGGATGGGTCGCCATCAAGAAGTGTCTTAGGTGTGTCACAACCTTGTGCAGCTGAGCACATTGCATTTTAAAAGATCGGTGGACTGGGGCATTTTCCTGATCCACATCAGTGCTGTCAAGTAACAGAACTGAAGGTTGTGTTAGCAGCTGAGGCACTCTGGGGAGAAGAAAGCTGGTCCACAGTGAGCAGCAGGAGAGAGGAGGAGCACATGAGGAGAGAGAGGAGAGGCAGAAAGCTGTCCCAGCCTCAGTCGCTTCCTAGTTGCAACCTGTGGATCTTAAACATCCTGTGATCCTTCTCTCTGTACATAGCCTTGAATGAGCTAGTTTGTGTGTCCAGTCTTTTACTAGAAAAAACCCGAGTGGGATGCACCTTCCCTCTTGCACCCGGACTGTTACTGTACTATGCACTCATGCAACAAATGTTTCTTGACCTCCCACCTCCCAGGGTCCTCTGCTGGACGCTGGGCATAAAGTGGTAAACAAGACACAGCCCTTGTCACGGGGACTTAGCTCAGTCGGATGGTAACATGCACAAGCCAACAGGCTGTGGTGGTCTGGAGTGAGAAGGATCAACCATGCAGTTTTGAAAGTTTTCCCAAGAAGGGTTACCGAGTGATGAATAGGAGTGTGTCACCTGGACCCAGGTTCAAGGCAGGGCAGTGGGTACTGCAGGTAGGACAGGGTTTGTGACAAAGGCCAGCTGGCTCTGGCCATTTCAGGAATCTGTGGCTAACAGCCTGGACTGCAGACATTTCTTGCTGTTACCTCTGATTCACGCCAACAGAATGGGGGTCAATTTTCAATCAGCTCTGGACAGCTCAGTCATGGCCTTAGAATTATTAACTATTTTTAATTAAATAAATTAGTGTGATGGCCATGCTAATTAAAGTATTTAAAGAGCGTCACCAGTGAATTCCTAACAGTCTCCTTCTGAAAGCCTGGCTTTTGGAAGGACTCAGCAAAGAACACAAACTGAAACTGATACCCTGTGTGGAATGTCAGCCGCTGGTCGTTAGTGTCTTCCTGTGGTCTGTGTGTCCAGATCTTGTCACCTGCTATGGTCTTTCAGTGTGTGACTGATCAGACCTAAAGAAATTAAAATATGCACTTGCCCTCCAAATTCTGTCTTATTCCTGTAGACAGACTGTTAGAAGGTGAGAGTGGAACAGTAGTTACTGGCAGTTGGAAGATTGGCTGGGGCAGTGATGGGGAGAGTTTGATCAGCAGGGGCTCAGTTGCAGTTAGACGGGGAAAGAGGTTCTGCAATGTTCTTGCATAGTTGGGTTACAATCCATAATGGCTGTGTCCTGGGTGTTTTAAAAGCTAGACCAAGCGCAAGGACCTGAGTTCGATTTCTGGCACCAAAAAAAAAAAGCTAGACCAAAGGATTTTGAAAGTTTTCATCATAAAGAAATAAATATTTGAGAATAGAGGTCTGTTTCACCTGATTGGAATATTATCCAATGCACACGTGGAGCAAAGCATCACATGGTGCAATCTGAAGTATCAGTTAAAAAATGCCAGGATTTCTTCCAAGAAAAGACTTTCTTTGCCTTCGTGTCAGCCACTCAAGGACTTCCGTCATTGCTGGCACTGCTCAGGTGTAAACAGCCAAATCGCTGAGGTCAGTTGGCAACTCCTGTCCACGGCCCACTGTGGGATGCTCTGGAACCCTGCCTGGAACACAATTCACCGGGCTCCTTCCACGCTCATCTCTCATTTTTTTCTTGCTATTATCCTGTTGATTTCCCAATGAATAAAAATTCTTGATTTAAAAAAATAACACCACTTATTTTTTTCCAGCAGGAAGACTCTAAGAGGGAGAACTATGCTTGTTCTGATTAAGATGCTGGTTTACTAAAATGTTTTCACCTCAAAAAGCTGAGAATTTTAGACCTAGAAGGGGCCATGAGTGAATACATGCAAACCACTCCTAAGGAAGCTTGAGACCTCTTCCATGGCATGTGTGACCCTGGTGTGTATGTTACAGTCCCAGCCTCTGTGTTTTCAAGTGTGAAGCTGGAGCATTAAAGTTGATTCTCACAGAGGTTTGTTTTTCAGCCCAGAATTCTGATTCTTTACAGTGCAGGGAGAGAGGCTGGGGGATTGCCTGAGACATCCACAGGCAGTGAACGGTATCACCACTCTCGGAACTGTGAGCCAAGTGTCCTGTCAACTTCCTGACATGTTACATAGTGGCCTAGGAGTCAAGTCCCATCCAAGGCACTGCTTTCATTGTTTATTCAAAACACACCTCAAGTCAATATTTGTCAGATACAGATGGCAACAGGAGATGAAGATTAGAAAATAGGTCCCTAGACTCTCAGTACCAGCCCTGATGATGGCTAAATTTAGAACATCCATAGGCTCCATTTGCCAGGATATTTCTCCCACTTTCTTCCTTGTTTTGACTTTCATATTAATAATAGCTACATTTCTAAAATTTCCATTTTAGGTATAGCACAATGATATAAATGGATCCATTCACTCCTGCAGAAGGTGCCCCCGTCTAATCACTGGGAAGTGAATCTGGAGTATTCTGGAATATTCAGTGGTGACCGGAGTTAAGCAGCTGGCACATGTGTGTGCATGGGTTAGGGCTGGAATTGGAGACTGCTGGCTAGAAAGAAGTGGAGGGCCCGGCAGGAGCTGGGGGTGGTAATTGGGAGTGCAATCAGAGACACAAATTGGTCGTGACCTAAGAAGCTGGCCCTGTTGTGTTAACTCATCTTTGTGACAACACTTTGAACTTATTACTGTGTCCATTTTACAAAGGGGACTGCTGAGGTACAAACGGTATGTGTGGTCAGTCCAAGGTCAGTCCAAGGGGTTAAAACAGCACTGCTGAGATTTGTGCCCGGATGGATTTGCTTCTTTAACCAGTGTGCTTGGCTGTCTCACATGGAAAGATGGGAGCCTCGTGCCTACAGCAGACCCCAGTCAACCTCTCCATTAAACGTCAACTCTTTCCCCAGTTTCTTTTCTGGTGTGATGAGCAGCTCCTAAAAAATCACAGTCTCCATAATGAAAACAAATCACAAGAGCTAAGAACAAATGACCACCGCCCCGTCTTATTGGCCCCTGTTACATTGTAATTTAAATATCCTCTCAAGGGGATGTCCTCCCGTACCCCCACGCACACCCACACAGCCCAAGAGGCTTAATAAGGTTTCAGAACAACAAAAGTCAGTCTTGTCCTGGGAGAGACTTTACTGCTAAGAAAATCAGATTTTCTTCATATGGTTACGGTAATCAAATTTCATTTCCTTTAAAATATTCTACATATTTCCTCCATTTATTCACCTTTATAGTTCCTTTCTTCCATTAGCCCAAGCTTTCGGGTTTTATTCTAGATTGTTCCAGATTCCAAGCAATATTTTAATGTCCCAATTCTTTTGATGTTTCAACACATGCAATGCTCATGCCTTTGCCTGTTTTATGTAAATATACTTCCTTCCAACAAGTGTTGCCAAGAAGTTAAACTCAATGTCAAGAAATATTCCTGGGTGAATGAAGAAATGTGACATTCTATCCTTCGGGAGGACACCTCGCTATGTTCTCCCAAGATGCTTGAAGCGAAGCCAGATTATCATCAGAACTTACAACTCATTGATTTTGCAGCATTTATATCAGAAAACAACAATGTTAAATATATCTTCTTTCTTAATGGAACTGGAATTTTGGGAAGTGACTCATTCAAAAGATGCCTGTACTCAGAGGCCCCTTTCACATGACTCAATTGTAGGATAAGAAGAGTGTGTCTTGTATTTCTTCATCTTCCTTCCCAAATCTCCCAATTCCCATGCCAAAGAGTAACTATAAATTGGCATGAAAGTTAGGGGAATGCAAATATTGAAGGAGAAGGGAAATCTCCTTGAGAAAGTTTAAAATAAATTAAGTCGATCTGATTAGTAAAGAAGACAGCTATACTTCAAGAAGATGTTAAATGTTCTGTACAAATCATTTTATGTTGATTAAGCAGTACACTGTAATTTCTTTTCTAAATTGAATGGGCTACAGTGAAAAATGGTATTTGGCCCACCCTGAACAATAACTTCTCTCTGAAGACCTTTACTGTGAGTTGAGAATTTTAAATTAGATGAAGAAATAACAATGCATGATGTTGCTTAGCAACCATTATATGTCTGTTAGTAACAGATTCCAAATGGATTCGTTTTGGGTCACTTTCAGAGGACAAATAAACTAATTACCTGAGACCAAATTAAATGAATTTCTAAAAGCTAAACGATGCCAACATCATTTTATTCATATATTTGTGCCAAGGAGAGATGTTTCCAAGATTATGAAAGTTCAGGACTTGGGTAACAGCTCTTGAGTCAGTACTTTTTCCCTGGTAGAAATGGCTTTGGTTTGGAGGCGACGATCATAACTGGAGGTCAAACTCTGGGAAGGCTTGCAGCTGCAGATGGGTGAGTCCAGCCCTTGTCCTGTGATTTCTGTGGATGTAAATGGCCTCTGACAAACTGGGCGGGCTTTAGTTCCTGTCTTTTACAACATCATTAATAAACACTGACAACAAAGCAAGTCTCAGAATGAATTCTGCCTCAAACAATCTTTGTTAACAAGGAAGCACAAAACCAGTCCTTGGAAGCTCTGGGAAGTCCAAGTCCATTTTCCTTATCCTCTTTGAAAAGCTGCAAACAGACCCTTAGTAATTCAGTAGAATCCAACTTCAGACTGCTAACCAAACTCTGTCCTGCTCATGCCTGGGTAGGGGTGCCTGGAAGATATTTCTAGAAGCTCACCTACCTTAACTGTGACTCCTTTCACCAACAAAAATCATTTCTATCATCTTTTGTGCTGATTAATGAACTCTGATTCAGAGCCACAGTGTAGTGGCTGAAGGTTCTATGTTGTAAGGTTATGAAAAGTGTCTCAGATACTGAGGAAAAAGATTTCTGATTGGGATATTGGAAATGTGGACTCACTATCCCCAGGGAATTTATACACTAGTGCATTTTACCGAATTTAAGATGTAGATACTCGTTCCCTTCCTTCTTTCCTTCCTTCCTTCCTCTCTTCTCTGTCTTCTCTCTCTCCCTCCCTCTCTCTCTCTCTCTCTCTCTCCCTCTCCCTCTCTCCTTGTGGTGGTGTTAGATTGAAGTGAGGGCCTTGTGCATGAATATGACTATTTTAAGTGTCAATGAGAAAGAAAAAATTCCGCTAATAATATTGCCTTATCACTTTAAAATTTTATTTTATACCTGTTGAAAGAGCCTTTTTACATTAGATTTAGATTTTTTTTTAATCATAGATTAAGAAAGTTCATAGATCTTAAGAGGGAATATATAGGTGAAGAACTGCTTAGTTTTACTAAAAAAAGGAACCTTCATATCCAAAATTTGGCTTTTATCAATCACTTTCTCAAATAGAAATATGTATTATTTTTGATAAAATAGAAAAACCTATTTTTTTTAACCCAACGCTGTTCTGTGTGCCATGACAATGATGTGCCCTGTCACTTAAAATAAGCAAAAGCCACTGGCACTGGGCTCTTATTGGTTCCACCATGAGGTAGACTCAGCTGCAGTGAAGTTTATTAAATTCAGGGGCAGAAGAAGTGTTAAAAAAAAAGAATACTAAATCACAAATACAAAATTAGGTAGGGTAATTATTTATGAATTATTTAGGCATGATAAAAAGAGAAACAAATATGAAGAAATGAGAAACAAATTAGGAAAACAGAGCAACAAGTATTATAAATTATATTTAAAACGAAAGGTCAAATTTTCCAATCAAAAGTTATCAAATACCACAAATATTACAAAATGCTGAACAATAGCATAAGTATGTTCATTAACTGACTTTGAGACCTGCCTCTTTTTTCTCTCTCCACTTTTTAGGCCGCATACTCTGTGGTTGCCCTGATCCACTGGGATGTGTGATATGTAACTGTTATCTCAAACACTGTATTCACTGATGTAATGTTCATGTGAGGAGCAGTCCCGTCACTGGAACTCTGGATTCTCCAGCCCATTTCAACATGCCAGCTGGATTTTGCCTGCCATTTTTCATCATCGTGAGATACCACGGTAACAAACAGAGCCATCTCCATGTGTTGGGTTGTATAAGACATCATCCACTCATGAGTTTGTAGAACTTGTTGTTTGACCTCTTAAAACACAGGAATTCTGATCAATTCTATTTTACATGATTTGCCTAAAAAGCCAGGTGTGTTTTGTGTTGCAAACGTTTCATGCTTTCAGGTTTTTCCTGGAAGAGCAATTCTCTTTGGACTTGGATTATAACTGAATATTCTGCTTATACTTTTACCCCTTTGAGCTTTTGGCTTTATACCTGTTCAACCTTGTTCTTCCTTCATTATATACACGTTTGAGGTGTTAGATTAAGTCTTCTCAGAGTTCCTTAATGAGGTAGTACAGCTGTGGTGGCTTAAACAATAGAAATTTATTTTCTTGCAGTGCTGGAGGCTGTGGATCCAAGATGAAGCTCATGGCAGATGTCGCTTCTCCTGAGGCCTCTCCTTGGCTTGCAGGTGGCCTGTCTCTGTCTGTGTCCTCACATGACCTTTTTCCCTGTGCATGTGCATCCTTGTGCCTCTTCCTCTTCAAGGACCCTACTTCTATTGGATTAAGTTTCTGTCCTTATGGTTTTACTTAACCTCAATGACCTCTGCCATGGCTTGGCTGTGGTTTGAAAAAGTCATGTGCTAGAAGTGGGGTCTCCAATGAGGTAGTGTTGGGAGGTGCTGGAACCCTTAAGGGGTGGGGCTGGTGCAAGGTAATTAGGTATTTGGGGTGCATTACCCTCCAAATGGATTAATGTAATTCTGGAGAGCCCAGTTAATTTCCCTGAGAATGAGTTGCTATGACAGAGCAACTCTGGCCTTAATTATGAACCACCCAGCTTCCTGGCTTGAATTGTGATTTCCTCTGACATATACACCTACTATGATGTTGTTTGCCATGTTGTGATGTAGCTAGAGCCCTCACCAGAACCAAGCAGATGCTGACACCATGCCCTTGCATCTCCAGAACTGTGAGCTAAACAAAGTCCTTTTGAAATAAAGCATCCAGCTTCAGGTGTTTTGTTATGGTTACAGAAAACAGATTGAGACATCTCTTAAAGGCCCCACCTACCATACAGTCACCCTGGGGGATGAGGCTTCAACACAAAACTTTCAGAAGAACACGATTCAGTCTATAGCAGGGACACAGATACAAGTGGGGTGGAGTCTGTCCTCTGACCCTGTACCTTTGTGCTATGCTTCTGCATGAAATGGCAGAGTGGGTGGCAGGGAAACCCAGGAAGCATGCCTATCCTGAGTTGGCTAGCAAAAATTTAGTCATGGAAATGAGTGTGAGCTGCATAACCTCCTCAGCCTCAACTGACAAAGCACACCACCTGTTCCTCCTGTTCAACTTCTTCAGTCCCTGAAATGCCTGTAGTCCTCCCACCACTGAAAAGAAATGGGACGGGGAAAAACTGGAGTAAAAGGAAAGATAAAGTTCTTCACTAATATTGGGTAAATATCTTACTTTTACAGATATTACTCATGCCAACATACTACAGAGGGTATCCTAGGGCCTCGGCAAGATCTTGTGCAAGTTTAAATGAAGCCCTGAAGCTTGAAGTTTATTAGCCGTATGGTAAATTCAGATCTGAGAACTAACTTACTTTTCATGCCAACTTTGGGAATGGTGCAGAGAATATCTGGTTCACCATTCTCCAACCCCTTCCTGCAACCATTGAGTGTCTAGGGATTAAGAAGTATTCTACTTAGACCACAGGGTTTTACTCTAATTGCTAACATCTCCCCTAGAGATTTTTTTAAAATTACACTTTTTATCTTGAGATCACTAGAGTTTCACAAGCATTGTAAGATATACTACCACAGAAGCATCCATGAACCTTTTACTTGGTTTCCTTCAGTGGTGGCATTTTGCAAAACTAAGGTATGACACCTTAGGCAGGATATGGACCCTGAGAATTCCCATAAGCATGAGGATCCCTCATGATTTCTTTTTCAGAAAGGGTGATTGGAAAGCATGGTGCATGATTAAAATTTTAAAACCTCATTACGATAAAGGACATATTGTCAAGAAAGATGGGATAAGTGTGTTTGAAGCAAGGGATGGATATTTTGTGGAGTGTTAAGGGCATTATGTCTTTTGCTGAAATACATTGGTTTAAACATTTACCATTGTTTTTATCATGCCATTTCGATCAAATGTTAACAGCAATTTCTGTCAAATAAAAACAGTATGGTGAGTCCTCATTCATCTTATTCACTGGATCTGGCACCATGTGACTTCTGGCTCTTCCCCCCAAATGACAGGGGGAAGAGTAACATTTCGGTAAAAGGTAAACATAAATCAGTTTAGGACATCGAGGCAGCTGAGACAAACAGCTAAACACACTTATAAAAGAGGACTTCCAGAGCTGCTTCAGAGAGTGGCAACAATAAGTATGTTAAAACAAGGCGAATTATTTTGAAGGGGATTAGAGGCAATGTGTTCTTTACTGCAATAAAGTTTTAAAAATTTAAACATTTACTAGAATTCTCGATTATACTATTTCTTGACCCCTGGGAACCCAGAATCTGTTCTTCATTCCTAAATTTTTGCCATTTTGAGGATGTTACATACACAAAACCACATAGTCTGTAATAGTTTGAGGTGGTTTTTCACTTAGAGTAATTCTCTGGAGAGTCAGTCAAGATGTCCCCTTTCCAACTCTTCTTCTATTTGTTTTCTGCATGGCATTCAGGGAAGAATTGGAAATCAGAGTGGAGTATCGCTCAGTCTCCTTGGAAGCAGAAGTTCAATTCCCAGGACCTAGCACTGGTGATTGTCATGTTGCTCACACACAGGCAATGACAGTGACATAGGGCAGCTCCCTAGCCACAAGCAAAGTCAGAGTGGGCAAGATGTGAAAAAATGTAGGTCCTAGAATGAGATGCCATATATCACATCGAGTGTGGTGAGGTTTCTTTCTTAAGTTATGGACCGTACAGCAGTGTTGCTATGGTCTGAATATTGGTATTTTCTCAAGAGTCATCTATTAGAACCTCATACCCACTGTGATGATATTAAGAGGTGAAGCCTCTGGAAAATGATCAAGTCACTGAGGAACTCTCAACCTTCTACAAAAAGCTCCAGAGAGCTCCCTGGCCTCCTTCTGCCGCATGAAGATGCTCGGAAGGTGCCATCTCTGATCCAGAAACTGGATCTGCTGGCATCTTGATCTTGGACTTCTCAGCCTCCAGAATTGTACGTAATAAATTCCAGCTGTTTATAAGCTACTTATTCTGAGATATTTTCTTATAGCAGCTGCAATAGATTATAATAAATTGTAACCATTATTGTGATTGGTAACGACTACATTAAGAAAGGTCCATCAGGTTAGTAAAGCACAGTTCTGTGTGTGTGTGGGGTGTCAGAGATGACTGCCCTGTAGGCCAGCAAACTGAGGGAGGCGACCCATCCTGATTGTAGGTGGCACTGCCAATAGGCTTGCAGCCTGGATGGAATGAAAAGGCAGAAGGAGGAAGTCCGCCGGTATTTGAAAAGTTCCACTCTGCTCGAATGAGTGCATCTTTTGCTTCGACCATCACCAGTGGACATGAGATTCCTGCTTCTTCAGGCTTTCAACTCAGACTCTCACCAGTGACTCTCCAGGGAACTTCCAGGCTTTTGGTCTTAGACTTGTGCTGGCTGCATCAATCCCTCTTGTTCTATGGCTTCGTGCTTCTCACGTTGAGCAGCTCCTGGATCCCCTGATCTCCAGCATGCAGACAGCCATGGTGGGGTCTCCCACTTCTGATCCTGTAAGCCTTCCTAATAAAAGCCCTTGCCTGATTTTATCTATCTATCTGTCTGTCTGTCTGTCTGTCTGTCTGTCTGTCTGTCTGTCTATCTATCTATCTATCTATCTATCTAATGTATTTATTACAATTTAGATCTGGGGTGTTCCCCCAAAGCCTCATGTGTTTGGGAGGTGATTGGATCATAGAGTGCTATAGCTGAAAGTGATGTTAGGAACTGGGACCTGGTCAGAGGGGAAGGCCGTGTCTCCCTCCCCAGCTCCTCCCCTCCGTCTCTGCTTCCTGTCCACCATAACGTAAGCAGCTTTCCTCTGCAGCAGTCCCTTCCATCTTGCCACTCCTGCTGTTAAGCCTGCCAACCTGTGGAGAGCGGTGTTAGCTGTGGAGAGCGGTGTTAGCCATAGAGGATCCATGTTTAATCTTACCCTCCATAATATAGAGCAAGGAGACTATGTTATGAGGAACCACGTACTTGCCGAATTAGATTGCCCTGGAACGTGATGAACGTTCTGTAAGCCCGAGAAACAAGGAAGCCCATGAGGGTGGGGAATTCCCAAAGAACTGGTAAACAACAAAGCAGGTGTTTTGGATAAAGGTCATGGTTAATGACCTAACTCACTGAGTGTATAAAAGAGAGGTGAAAATAAACTTGCTTGTTCGGTCTTAGGAGCCCGGATGACTCTGTCTTTTTCTTTTGAAGTGTGTTTTTTCTTTCATCCTCACCCCTCCTCTCAGGTACTGTTCGACTAGTGACGGCGGGTCCCGTCACCAACCACAAACTGAGACTTCTGTAACTGTGAGCCAAAATAAACCTCTCTTCCTTTCAGTTGTGGGTGTTAGGTGTTGTGTCTCAGCAACAAGATAAACAACCAGGAGAAATACATAAATATATATTAATATATTCTACTGCTTCTGTTTCTAACCAATATAAAGGTACTCTTTCATTTAGTCATTATTTCTCATTTGATTTCTGATCTCTCCACATCTGTCCCAAGACAGAAGATATTAAACCACAAAGATATTAGGCTTTGCTAGTGTTTAACAGACTGACTGAGCAGATGGGATATTTCTAGTCCTGGAATTAGTATCGGAGGGAGGGAGGGAGAAGGAATCTGGCTGGGGCAGTGTGAGAGCTCCTGCTGTGAGGCTTACCTCAGATAGCCGGGTGAACCACACAGGTCTCAGGAGCCAGGATGGCCCTTCAGAGGTGCCCAGGGCTGGTCAGTGGCCGGGCCTGCACACTCCTGTGTGGATGCATACCTGTGCGTGCCTGGTTTGAGGAGGGATGTCCTCAAAAGTCCCGGAGGGACTGGTAACCAGAGGCTCTCTGCCTTTAGTGACCCAAACAGCCCATCCACCTGTCTTCCTGCAAGGGGGGCCCTGGGCAGAACCTGGCACTGCGTGCATAGAGTGCCACTAAATAGACACACATTGAAGAGACAGTCTCAGAAGTGTTTTCCTGTTAGACGTATGTGAGCAAAAATATTGCTCAGCAGTTCTCCTAGATGGCTGTGACTCTTTCCCGGAGATTAATGCAGCTATCTCAGTTAATAAGGAGTCATAGTTCTGATGTGTAGACGTGCATTTCTTTTTAACCTCTAAGGTTGCTTTCCATCCCCAAAGGGATGACATAATTATTTGGGGTTTTAAATTAATTTTCCATTTCTTCAAATAAAATATCAAAAGGTCTTGTTTTCTTTAAGCCCCTCTAGATCCCACTTATAAATCTTAATGTTCCTTTTACAAACCCAGTGAATTTTAATAATCCAGTTCAAGGGTGTTTTTATTAGTGTTCTAGTTGAACAGACAAAACTACCTCAAATAATCAGCCACATTTACAACTTGGTTAATTAAATTCCTTTAAACATTTTTACTGCATGTATAAATATATTTGATTTTTCCTCTGTAGTTCACGTAATAAATTACACTTATGAATATAGTAAATCCCAAGTTCTCTTAAGCCTCTCAGTGCTATTTACAAACCTAGCCAAATTTTCTTAAACTGTTCAGCTTAAAATCTCAAGTCAAAAATAAATCACTCATTTTCATGGAATGACAAAGTTAATCTGTTGGATTTGTAGGTCAGATCCTCTCCAAAGGCCGCAAATCTCCACCCTGGACAAAAGCAGGGATAACAGGGCAGCACCCAAGTTTGTGTGTCCATCTTGCTGCTGTGAACTTCCCCGTGTGCTAGAAACCCTCAGGTCCTTTTAGGTGGGCTACAAGGCCTCTGTTGGGCTGCAGGGAAAGTTGATCATAACCAGATTCTACCCTCCATGAGGACACCTGATGGACCACCCTTTATTACCATCCTGGGAACTCAGTGAACTCCCTCTTCTCTGTTTTTAAAAAATTGACTACATACAACAACCAATAGCAATAGTATATATTTATTGGGCATATGTTTTGAAGTAGGTATGCATTGTGGCATGGCTGAAGAGAACTGGTTGACACACTCAGACCTCAGGTCCTTGCCTTTGTTTGGGCCACTTTGCCCGGCAGTGCCACCTGAGGAGGTGGGCCAGCCTCCTCCCGGCTCCAGGGTCAGACACGGGCTCTCACACACTGAATATTGAGTGGCATCTTTCCTGGGCTCCTCTTCTATCCTGTTTGTGGAGCGTGGGGATTATTACTGAAACATATTTCTCAATCACATAACTTGAGTGCCACTGAATATAACAACAGAAACCTTTTCATTGGTTTATTATTTCTTTTAAATTAACACAATTATACCTATTTCTAAGGTACAGCATGATTTTGAATACATGTATGCAGTATGTATGAGCAAATCAGGATAATTATCATTTGTATCTCCTTACAATTTCTTTACATTGGAGGCTTGAAGCTCTCTTCTAGTTCTTCATTAAATGTATAGTATGTTGCTACAGTCACCGGAGGTGCTGAACACTAGAATTCGCTCCTCTTATCTGTCTTGGTACCCGCTATCTACCCTCCCTCTGCGGAAATTTTTATCTTATCCTCACTACATTAATTACTTTGGTGTCAACTGAGTTGTGTGAGACCTAAGATTGGCCGAGCTCCTTCCCTGCTTGGGGAGATGTTTCCTTTCTTTAGTGCTCCAGTTGTTTTCCTTAGCAGATATTTCTTTTCTTTCATTTGAATCTGTGGAGAGTCCCACCACAGGGCCTCGAGCAAACCTCTTTTGAGAATTCTCTTTTGTTTTTGCTGCTTTATTCTTTAATATCGATCCACATAGAAGGACATACACAGTATACACCTGTGTTGTGAAACATAATAATACTATGAACACAGGAGACACTGGAATATCTAGGAGAATCAAAGGAAGGTGGAGCCATGGAGCTTTAAGGGGAGCAGGACATGCAGTTCTGGGGATCCTGAGCTCGGTTGGTCATGCACCGAACTCTGTGGTTAGGATGTGGTGAACCCTGTGGTTGGGAGCCCCAGGAGGGGAGGTGTGGTTCCCACCAAGAATGAAGTGTGGAAGGAAAAGCAGACAGACTGTTGCTCACACTCTCCAAGCCACGATGTGTGAGTGCAGTCTCTCCTGACTCCAGACTCCATTGCTGCCTCTGCACTGGAAGTTGTGGACCACAGTATCCTATTCTCTGTCTGGTCTTGTTCTTTGTGTAGAAAATCCTTTGATGCTGTTTTAATATTATTTCAGCCTCCCTGTCATTCCAGTATTGATAGAGATGTTCTCTGGTCATTGGATGCAACTTTTGAGAAAGACTTAAGTTCAGTGGTTGAATCATATTTGCCTGAGGTATTTCTGTGGTAAGGATTTCTGTGGTGATAGGATTTGTGGGTGGGAGTTCGAGGAGGGAGGAAGAAAGAAGGTGAAAGAAGGCCAAAGTAGCAACTTTCTCAAGGAACACGAGCAGGGGAAAATCAGGGGTAAAAGAGAGACAACAAGTAGCCTTTGTATCTAACAGGTTGGGATGTCCAGGAGGTCACCATGGATGTGGGCTGGATGCTCATCTTCCATTCCACATCAGTGGCCATTTTCTGCCTTTTCTCTCACTCCTGAAGGTGTGGTTCCCCATCTGTCTCATCTTTGTCTGCTCGCCTTTCTGTGTACCTTGACAAAAAGTAAGGGATGATAAAAAAAATCAATGAATGCTTAAAAACATTTCTGTTTGCAGTAAAAGACACATACCCATTCATGTCCCTCAAAATATTCACTCTTGCAGTTGGGAACTCTTCTTCTATGAGTGGAAGTCACAGTGAATGAGGCTGTCAAATGCCATTCAAATTGAAGGCAAGGTTATAAAAACATGACGGTGTGTCCTCATCTACCTTATTCACTGAATCTGACACTATGTAACTTCTGGCTGTTTCCCAAAATCAAAGTAACTATGTAAGGTAAACATTTTGAATCAATTCAGGACATCAAGGCAGCCACAACATCACAACTAAAGACACTCAGACAAGGAGAGATTCAGAAATGTTTCAGAAAGTGGCAAGAATGATGGGCCAAGTGCGTTAGAAGGAGGGGAAGCATTTTGACATTCACCTTCAAGACTGTGTTCCAGAAGTGACTGTATCAGGCTGCCTGTAATGTTAAAATTCTAGGAGGCTGAGGCAGAAGGATTGCATCTTTGAGTGCAGCTTGGGCAATTTAGTAACTTAGCAAGAACTTGTCTTAAAATAAAAAATACAGAGAGGAGGCTAGGGATGTAGCTCAGTGTGAACTTGAGGGGGGCGGACCTAGGGTTACAGAACACACTTTATTGGAGAGTTACTGACAGAAGTGCAGTTCTGGACAGCAACAAGACCACGTGGATCCTGTGATTTGGGCCAGAGTAGGGTCATATAGATGGGAAAGGCAAGAGTCCCTTCATCTAAGCTACAATGTATTGGTTTATCTCAGGCTCATATGGAAGAATTAGGCACATTCCTGGTGCCAGAAACCAGCTGTGAAGCTTGCAATACCACTCTAAGTTTTTTTGTTTATTTACAATATTCTGGGCAAATACATGTGGAAAAAGAATGAGGATTCCCCAGGGGTAATCACGACTGCTACAACTCCAGATGGCTGCATTCACATCAAGC